ATCCTCCCTGGGCCTTTGCTCCTGATCACAGTGTCCCTGTGGTCAAGGCTCAGCCTGAGGGCACACCATAAACAAGGCCATCCTCCCTGGGGCCATGGCAACTCACTCTGTGTAGCTCTGGTTTCTCTCTGCCCTGCTTTCTAGAATGTGGTGTGTAGGTCCCTCTCTCCCACCTACAGCACAGCTTTCCATGCAAAGGGATAGCCTTATGTACCTCTGATCCCCACAGAACTTCTCTCTGGTAGGGTTCAATGTTTGGTGCAAAAATCAGTGAAAAATCTACGTTGTGTATTATCCAAGGCAAAATCCTACCCATTTTATTCTGAATCCTCTTCAGATGTATTCTGGTTATTTTCTTAAATTGATCTACTGTCATCAGGCATAAGTCAGTGAGAGACTGTAGAAAAGATCCCATTTCCTGAGCCTTCACAAGTAGCATGTGAGGCAGGTGTTATTGGCTTCATTTAACAGATCAGGAAAAGAGATGAAAAGAACCTTCCGTGAGACATATTTGGTGAGCAGCAGAGCAAGGAGACTCAAGAACAGGACTGACTCCAAAATAAAAGGCAAAATTCCTGTCCTCAAGAAGCTTACAATCTAGTTGGAATGATGAGACAAATACATGAAAAGGCAAGTAACAATAAAGATGTTCTTATCTAGAGCAGGATTTCTCAACCTTGGCACTACTGATGTTTTGGGCCTGATGATTCTTTGTTGTGGGGTACATGCTATATGCTGTAGGGTGTTCAGCAGCAGTCCTGTCCTCTAACCACTAGATACCAGTAGCTCCCACCCCCATCAGTTGTAAAAACCAAAAATGTCTCCAGATATTGGTCTGTTTGAGATTCCCTAATCTAGAGCAACTGCAAAGCTTACCTTAACCACTGTGATCATAAAATATCACCATTAGGATCCCTCTAGCCAATTCTCACAGACAGGTCTGCAATGCCCATCCAGCAGCTAGCCATTCAAGGCCTTTCCACACCCAGTCCTCACTTCATTATTGTACCATCCTGCCCGCATTTCCCCTTCAAGCTGACTTATTTATTTTCACTCAGATGTAGTATATGTCTCAGTAGGATGTCTTAAAGTCCTTTCTGGAGTGAGACAGGGTAGGGGGAAAAATAATGCAATCACAGGACAGGGGAGAAAACACACACACCATAAAGCAATGTGATTAAGTGACAAATTATCCCATTATTGACAATTTGCCAAACACCTTTTTACAACACTGCCATCAAAGTGTGAGCCAGAGGCCAAACAAAGGCAGATGAGAATTCTTTCAGTCCTGGTCCTTCTGGTTAGAATGGGCTTCACTGAAGAGTTGAGCATGAACACTGTCTGCCGAGGCATGAGGATTCCAGAAAAAACTCTTAGGAACAAAGGCCAGGGATGGGAAGAATCATGAATCTCAATGAAATTTTCTAAACATGCAAGCACAAATTAACATTTTTCTACAACCAAAAACCCAATTGCTTTCACTTTCTAACCAATATATGGTCATAACCTAACTTAGAAATGAACCTTATTTTCACCAAGCCTAAAATAAAATTAAATATATAAGGAATACTATATTTAAGAATAGAGTAAAACACATGTGTGTGTGAATAGTAACTGGCACATAACTTCTATATAAGTTATAAATATTATCTTTTATTATATGCCTTAATTTAAGACAGTCTTTTATATTTGGATACAGGGTGAAACGATAGGGATATTTACATTTATTTAGCTTTACCAAGGCCCAGCCAGAAGTGCAGTCACAAGCCCAAGAATTTACAGCTAAAAAAATGACAGCTTCTTGATCCCAGTCTGATTCCATGATCAAGGCTCACTTCACTGTGATATGACAATGTCAAGATTAACTGATTGATCATCATAGAGCAGTGATTCTCAACTGGAAGTGATTCTGGCCACCAGGGGACATTGGCAATTTCTGGAGCCATTTCTGGTTGTCACAACTGGGTGTGTGTGGGCCGGGGTGGGGGGCTACTGACATCTGATGGGTAGAGGCTAGGGATGTTAACATCCTACCACACACAAGACAGTCCCCACAACAATTATATGGACAATTATATGGCCCCAACGTCAACAGTGCTGAGGCTGAGAAACCTTATCTTAGAGGAAAGGTCCTTTCCCTCAGTCAGGAAAATGAAGACCGAAAGCATATATACACCCCAACATACACTTCTCGCTTTGCCTTAAATCTGTCCCTATCTGGCTGTCTTTTCCACACTGTCTGAATGGATTCCGCCACCAGGAAGAAAATGCTGGGCTCTCTGCTTCTTCCCTCTTTGGATTCTCAGACACCAGAAAAAGCATGCAAGCCAGGAGACATGAATACAGGGGCAGGAAGCCAGAAAATGTAATGATGCACTCTTGAAAGCACCATGGTCTCTTTGGTTTGTTAAGCAAAAGTTAGCACGATTCTATCGGTCACTACCTACCACTCTGGCTTCTGGCTAAGCAATGCCCACCCCCAGCAGCTCCCACTATTCACCAGTTTTTAAAGGACTGCTCAGTAGTGATCCAGACCATCATCATGTCCTTTAGGATAGCGGTAATTTTCCCTGACAGTTCTGCTGAACACTTGATGAGACAACAGGTGATTTCAGGAGATTTTAAAAGAAAGGAAATTTAACAAAGAACAAAGTTTAAAATAAGTTAAATCCAACCAGAGTCTCAATTCTTTTATTATCTCTTAGATTTCTAAAGCACTTTATAGTCTGGGAAACACTTCTGTGCCTACCTTCTCAACCAAACATCACAATTGTATTGTGAAGAAGGCAGAGCAAATATTATCATGTTCCATCCTAGGACTGTGGAGAGGCCGCAGCAACAAGGGGCCTGGGCCTACTGCTCTGCCCACTCTGACAGGTTGGGACATTTGGCTCTCACTCGTTTGTACCTAGATAATCGCTTAAGCATCTTGACTTACTTATGCTTACACAGCATAACACTTGTGTCCTACAAATGAGCTTATCCAAAGTTAGAAATTATATGGCAAAAGACAGAAGAGAGACTAGAGAAGGGGAGACCAACTAGACACACAAACTGACCTACATAAAATTTTTATTTTAAAATAAAAATTCCTTCAGATCTTCACTTACACAAACTTGTTCATAATGAAAATTTTCCTTTTCTGATTCACAAGCACCATAATTTATAATTACTGAACATGTGCCCAGTTCTCCAGGGGAAAATCTGCACGCTACACATCAGGAAATGCTCTTGGAGATCAACACAGGAGAAATGAAATTAAAGTTCACAGCTTTTGCTTTCACGCACAGTAAACCTACTTGTGTTGTCATAAATTATGGAAACCTCATTTTTCTTACCTGTTTTAGCCAACATTTATCATATACCTTTTATGTGGAAGACATTGCTGAATGTGGCAGAGAATAGAGAAGGGAAATGAGGCAGTCCCCGCCCTGGAGACATATGGAAAGTACACCCACAGGGACAGAGCACATCTAGTGGAGTAACTTAGGAGGAATGGTAACAAAAGGAAAAGGTGACCTCACCTGGGCCCTGAAAAATAAGAAAGATGTCACACAAGAAGGTGGAATGGGAGAGGACTTCTGACTGAAAGAACAGAAACAGCTGTTGCAGTTCAGCTGCAGTAATAGAAAGCAATCTGGGATCAAATTCAAAACTTAAAAGCTACATGTATAAAAAAGACAAAAGTATCTCCTCTACTTGCTGTAAAAGAAACTGTAACTCCTTCCAGTTCACTGCAAAGTAGAAATGAAGAACAAGACAGAATCAGCGTGACTCTTTGTCTATCAGTAACAGTCAGAGGTATGCTGAAGGAGCACTCCCTGGGTCTCAGTGCTGTCAGCAAGGGAATGGGGGCTCTCTCCTCTCACCTCCCTGGGGAGCAAAGACCAATTCGTGCAGCAATTGTGCCAACAAGGTAGAACTATGAGAAAACTGTTGGTTACCACAGGCTTTTCTGTACCAGAGTCTGTTAACGACCAGAGGACTGGAAGAGTCTGTTCCCACAGGTTGTGCTTTGGGACCACTGCCACAGAGCCACGGAAGCCCCCTTCCTAGAACACACCTGTGCCCTATGGGCCTCAACCCAAGTCACTCTGATACCCCAACTCAGCATAAACGTGGTTCCATCTACTGGGGGACCTCAGCTCCCAGCCATTGAGGGCACTGTCACTAGATACAGGCCTCAGCAAGGGCAGTAACAGCCACTCCAGCTACAGAGATGTGGACATTTCAGGTCTTCACCCGCCACTGAAAGGCCACAAGGGGGATTGAGCCCCGGTTTCACACACTGGACCATATCTGAGCACATCCTGACTGATGCACATGAGTGGCAGGAGCTGGCTGACGCCCAAGGGCCGCTCCCCGGAGCAAGGCCGCGGCGCCTCCACAGACCACGGGTGGGCGGCCGAGGGCTCAAGTGCTGGGGGGCGGAGGCAGACTTCTCCGCGTCCAGGCGAAGCACGTGCCTGGACTCGCTGGTCTCCCCGCGCCGAGTGCAAAGTCCGTTCCCTCCGAATCCGCGGCTCTGGCACCGGGCACCGAGAGCGAGGCGGACAGGGCCTGTGCGCGGCTCCGACCTGACTCCGAACCCGGACCTGCCTCCGGGCTCGGGCTCCCGCAACCCCTGCAACTCACTCACCATTGTGGTTGACCCAGGTCGGCTTCAGGAGCTTCATTGTTCGGCCGCCGCCGCCGCCGGGCTGAGGCGAGAGCGGCGTTCCTCAGCGCTCCCGGGCCATTGAGCCACCGCCGCCGCTTCCTCCCGCGTCGCCCGCCCTCCGGCCGCCGCCCGCCCCGCGCCCTCAGTGCCGCCACAACATAGCGGTCCCGCGCTCCAGGCCGCCGCCACTGCCGCCCCCCGCGCTCGGCCGCCACCGCCGCCGCCACAGCCGCATCCCCTGCACCGCTCCTCCTCTGGCGGCTCCCGGGCAACGCCGGAAGTCACGGCGCGCACCTGCCAAATCGCCCCGGCGGGAAACCGCTCCCCGCGCGGACGGGGCCGCCCGGGATCCTCCGCGGGCGGGGGCTGCACAGGGCGGCTCGGCTTCGAGTCCGGCTCGCGGGCAGCCGCCGATGAGAGAAGGAGCGGCTGGGACCGCGGCGGGCGAGCGGGGCCTCGAGTTGCAGCACAGGTCGGCAGACACAGGCAGGGACTGGATAGCGTGGATGGCCTCTCTCCAGCTCTACCTCGCCGGTTCCGAGTCCGACTAATTAACTAGCTTCCGTCATTCATCAACACGCGCTTATTGGGCATCTAGCGAGCGCCAGGCCACGTGCGGGCGCCGGGGTTCAGCCACCGGCGGACGGCCCCAGTCCCAGACTCAACGAATGCAGGGAGATGAGTCAGCCCCGGGAAGGGTAATGGGGGAGGCCGAGGCGGGCGCATTCATTGGAAGATCGGGGCCGTTTTCACAGACGTGGACTTAGACCTGGAGTAGAGGGACGCCTCTTTGGCCACTCCGGCTTGCACTGTGGGATCTTGGCCCTCGCAGGGGCGCAGGCCGACTAGATACCGACTAGATAGTGGAGTGACTGGCGGGTACGTGCGGGCTGCGAAGAAAGAATACCGGAACCAGGCAGAGGCGGAAGAAAGGACACCGGACTGCGCTCTGGGCGTGCCCACACGCCACCAGTACGTGTGGGCGGAGCTACGTCGGGGCGGGCCCAAGCTTGATCTCGCGCTCCGAGGTCGGAACGCGGAAATGCGGAACGATGGGATAGCCGGACCGTTGTGCGTGGCACAACGCACGAGCCAGACAGCCGAGGTGCACGCCCGGAAGCAGCCGGTCGGCTACCTTTGGGGCCATGACCGCCGCGGTGCTGAGATCTGCGCGCGCTTTGCGCTCGACGTGCTGGTGAGTGCGGACTTCAGACGGGTCGCGAGGTGCCTGAGGAGCGCGCGGCGGACTCCGCGCCAGCAGGCCTGGGCCTCGCCTGCGCTACCTCCCCAACCAACCTTATCCACGGATATCAAAGGAATAAGCCAGCTGATCTCGCCTCTTCCCGTGGGTGAAAATCCGAGGGCACTGGCGAGCAGGGACCCTGCCCAAGTGCTCTCTGGTGTGAACGGGGGATTTTGAAAAATCGCCCACATTGACCTTGCTGTCACATCTAGCAGTTACAAGTGCCTCAGGTTTTGAGGGCATTGTAAGTTTTTTCTCTTTTCCTGTTTAGTGGGGAGAGTCAGATATTTATACATACTTTTATCTCTTTCAGGCTTCTGAGCACTTGGCAGACACAGATTAGAGACACCCACCAGCGAGCTTCAGTGTTCTCTTTCTGGGAACTCATTCCCATGAGGTAAACTCAACTGTGGGTCTGACCTCTTTAGGGTGTCAGCAGGATATATATTTGCACATGAACATAAAGCAAGAACTCGACGTTTGGTTTGCAAAATAGGGTATAAAGTTTCTCAGTTAAATTTAGGCCAGTGTTTTTCTGTCTTTGCAACATTTCCTTTATGGACTACTGATGTAGCTGTAATCAGAAAACATGTAAAAGTAATTTAAATAATTAGCTTTGAATGGATTTTTGTTTTGTAAAGGGCAAAGCATAAACTTCTGTTTCTCCATGGGCCCTCCATTTCTGACTCCCTGGAGAAATGAAGGAAGGTGTGAGGACCAGTTTTTTCCACCTGTGACTCTAGGTGCTTTCTACTTGATTCAAGAAACTTGGTCTTGGTGCTAAAGGATTTGATTATTCTTAATAGTAAATTATCACCATAGGAGATGTGTTCCTGAGAGTAAATCAGATTTTTGTTAATGCTCTAGGATGGGGAAATTTGTTAAGTCCCAAAAAGTAGAAGCATGCCAGTCTCACTTTTATTAAGGTGTCTCTCTTAGGCTTACCTAAATCATTTTTATAAATTACAAATCCATTTAAGATGTGAGTTATGAGCTTCTAATTCATCAGTTTGGTATTTTCCCTTTTCAGTGCAATCCCAAGGCACACCTGAACTCCAGCATTAAAGATGAGCACTCCCCTTAATTTTTACCCTGATGCCCCAAGAAGTTTTTCCACCCCTTCCTGGGTTAGGGGTGCCCACACAGTTCTCACAAGAACCCTGGGGTGGAGGCCATCTTCTTGCCACTCTCACGTTACAAAGTCAGGACCATGCACAATTCCTTCCCTAGTGAACAGCTCAATACAAGTTTGGGGCACTTAACCTAGTGCCATGTCTCTCAGCATGTTTGTGAGACTAAAGAGGAAAAATGTTTAATGTTTGCTTTATCCATTAGAGCAGAGCCTCTGCGAAAGAAGAAGAAAGTAGATCCTAAAAAAGACCAAGCAGCAAGGGACCGTTTGAAAAAGAGGATTCGACGACTGGAAAAAGCTAGCCAGGAGCTAATTCCCATTGAAGATTTTATCACACCTGTGAGGTTCTTGGATAAAGTGAGGTGAGAGTCCTCCAGGGTTGAGGTCTTTAGGGCAAAGGAGTTCCATCACCTTGGGGTAGTTCTACTTGCAGTTCACACCAATGATGGGAAGGGGTCAGTAGGCTTGGACTGACTTGGCCCTGGTCTGAGTCTTTTTCTCCTTGTATATGTCTTGTGGGAGTTGGAGAAAGCATTCCTGGGTGATGCTCTTGAATGGTTAAATGTGGGAAAGAAACAGAATAATTGTGAAAAGCCAGGCCAGATACTTGAGTGAATTCTATCAGCACTGCTCAAAAGTTCGTATTTGTTGCTTTTTTACAAGAGAACTTGTAACTGTTACTAATGACTTGGGCTTTATGTCTATAGGCCTTCTCCATCCTGATGGTAGAAAACCCTTAGCCTCTTGCTTTATGGTGCAATTGCTCATTGTTGGGATATGTTGTGTGCAGGGTTGGCAGGGTTGCTGTCTTCTGGTAAAAAAGTGTGTGCCATTTATAAAGTAGCACCTTGCCATACAAGTGGGACACAGCAGGAGCTTTTTTGGTACTCCAGGGCTGATATAGGCTTTTGACTCCCTGGGATTTTGGTGTCCATTTTCATTACACCATTTCACTTTTCTCCAAAGTCACCTCTCACCAAAGGTAGTCTCTGCCTGGGTGAGAGGAAGTGCTACCATAGTCTCCTCAGAGCGTCACTTTCTTGTCTCCTTGTTAAAGCAAATAGCACTGGTTCCCAGTGTCAGCTGCAGCTGCCACCACATTCAACATTCCATTCCTTAATTTATCCCAAACTTCCACTTTCTTTCCTAAGTTCCATCTATGTTTGGCAGTGAGGATGCTTGGGCCATAGTCAGTCACCCAGACTTCCTGGTCAGCAAGGTCACACTCCCCAGCTTCACACCTTTGGATTTGTGTGTTCCCAGACAGCGGCCTCAGGTCGAGCTCTCCTTTGAGGAGGGTGAGCGGAGAGCTTTGCTTCTGAAGAAATGGTCCCTGTACAAGCAGCAAGAGCATGAGATGGAGAGGAATGCCATCAGGTCCATGCTTGAGGCCCAGCAGGAAGCTCTGCAGGAGCTGCAGTTCACATCCCCGGAGCTCCATGCAGAGGCCATCAAGCGAGACCCAAGTCTTTTTCCCTTTGAGAGAGAAGGGCCAGATTACACACCACCAGTCTCCAACTACCAGCCCCCTGAAGGCAGGTACCATGACATCACCAAGGTGTACACACAGGTGGAGTTCAAGAGGTAGAACTGCAGGGAGCTGTCTGAACATGCTGCCCTTGAGAGCAAGAACTGGAGCTCAAGCCTGCTTGTCACACAATTAGGCATGCTGTGAATAAATGTAAGTTTAATCAAGTGTCTCTTTATCTTATGTTAGAGTCAAAATTAATTCACCTGAGGATGGGCAGGGGTGAGAGATGTTGCCCTTCCTTGTCAGGTACTAGGGAGAGGATGACCAAGACCATTGCCCCCCAGTAAAAAGAAAGATTCCAATTGTGTGAGGCAGATGCCACCAGCAAGAGGCACAAAGTGACCCCGAGAAGCAGAGGTGAAGGATATGCAGGCTGTGTGCTGTTTGCACAGGTGGGCAGATGGAGTACAGAGCTTTCTCACATCATCAGCAGGGCCAGCTTTGCATTTTAAGCTGGGAAGGGAGGCTGAGGAGAGTGGAACAAGCCAGAGACATTAACTAGCCAGAGACTAGTTAATAAAGTTGCTGTGTCCCCTAGGAGGGTGTTGCACCTGGGGCTGAGTACTCTTATTCAAGTGGTGTTAGTCTACAATGGTGACTGTATTAGTGTACTGGGGCTGCCAGAACAAAATGCCAGACTGCAGGACTGAAACAGACATTTATTTCTCACATTTCTGGACGTTAGAACTCCCAAGATTGAGGTACCAGCAAGGTTGGTTTCTCTGAAGGCCTCTCTCCTTGGCCTGCAGGTGGCTACCTTTTCACTATATCCTCACATGGCCGTCCCTCTGTGCCTGTTTCCTTGTAAGTACACTGCTCATGTCAGATTATGGCCTGCCCTAATGACCTCATTTTAAATTAATTATCTAAGGCCCTATCTCCAAATACAGTCAGTCATACAGAAGTACAGGGGGTTAGAAGTACAAAACAAATTTGGGGGACAGGAGAGGGACAC